CGGATCCGGGTTCGTCGCCTGGAGTCTGCGGAATTCGCGGATACGTCCGTGCAACTGCATCAGTCTGCGAAGGATCTTGGCACCTAGAGCATAAACGTCAGCATGTGGAAGGTTATTATCTAGTATGTGTTAAGCTTACCTTGATATTCAAATCTCTCGGAATGCGCATAGATTCTCGGTCGGAAACTTCTCTCCTGGGTCTGGACGTAGAACAGACCGTCGGGCAGGGGGACTCCTCGAAAATGCATTCTCCAAGTTGTCGGCATGAGCGTGTATTCGTCTCGTGCCCTCAGGATCTGGTTCAGATAGATCTGTTCATAACGCCAGGCTTCTTCCGGATCGTAGCTGGTGGGAGAATCTGCGGGGCTGGGGGACGCGCTTGGAGTGCTCGGCGGAGTCGCGTCATCGCTGGAAGGCTCTCTTCCCTCTATCGTACCTCTCGCAACTCTTTTGAAATGTTCTAGGAGCTCAGGGGCATTAGGTACACGGAACTCATCTAGCACTGACCCCTCCTCGTCGTCTGAGTGCTCAAGGATTTCTTCGCCAGCACCTTGTGAGACTTCTTCGTCAGCAGCTTGGGCGAGTTCCTCGTCTGCACTGTCAGCGAATTCTTCGTCTTCAGTCTGTTCATCTACATCGTCAGCAACTTGAGGGGCAATATAGTTGCTAGCTTGTTGGGCAGCTTCCTCAGCAGAGCGGATAGCTTCCTGGATAGCTGCTTCAGCATCATTCCGTCCGTCTTTAGAGAAGCCTCCCGAAGTGGCTTGTGCAGAAAAGCCAAACCCGACGCGGTCGTCGTCGGAAGGGCTCGTGGGGTCCTCGCCCATGATTTCGTCCTCGTCATGGTCATTGGCCTCATCCTCCTCGACTTGTAGTGAAGCTTGATATCTCCTCCAGACTCTGGAGAGGTCTCGAGGAGTGGGCACCAAAGGATCGCCAATGGGGCCATCGTCGTCAGAAGACTCGCTCCTTGCGTCGATATCCAGAGCCTGAAGCTTCTTCTCTTTCTCCTTAGTCGCATTTCCCTTGGCTACAGAGGCGCGTTTGGTAACACGACCATCAATGACTTTGTCTGTGTTGCTTTGTGTGGTAGCCCCGCTCGAGGCACCGTTAAGCCAAGCTCTCGACGACATATTCGTTCGTATTCCGGTTTGCGGTTCTTATCAGTGTGAAAGATGGAAGCTGTATGATTTATCCGGGCATGAGATGAAGAAATGCCCAGATATATAAGACCTCGGTCACTTGGTGCCTACGGTAGTGATGGCATTGATACGGGCGTTTCCTTTGGTGGAGGTGAGGCTGAGGACAAGGACAAAGTTTTGCTTCTTGTGTGCAATTAGAATGGTTTATGAACAATCCATTGTGCTGCCTGGGAGCCGAGCAGGCAACGTTTTCTATGAGAAGTCGAACGTGGTTGCGAGGACAATGGCGGACAATGGAAGACAATGGATGGTGCTACAAGACGACCGTTTCCGGGGAAATGGCAGGAATCGTACGCAGCAGGCTGCCCCCCTTGGACGTCAGGTATCTCGAAGATTTGAGGTCTTTGTCGCATGCAGTTGTTTAAGCCAAGGCACGCGTCCATTCTCACATCTACTTCTTGGGGCATGAGCCTTGCCACGTGTGGGAGGTGTGCGTCGCCGCATAGCGTCGTACCTGCGGAACAAGGTTCGGCTGAAGTTGGACGTGAGATCCGTGCAGCAAGTACTTGTACGTACATACTCGCCCATTGCGATATAGTGGGCCACGCTACAGGCGGCCGTAGGTACCTGTAGGTACACCGGTACCTACAAGCACGGGTTGGAGGCATGAGGTCAGGAATCAGCCCGATAAAAGAGAGCTGAAAGAGCGCTAGCCTCGTAGCGGCATAGCGCCCTACTCGAGCAGAGATGATGTATCCACTCAGAAAATGAAAAATGATTTTCTTTTGCCCCGTCCCGTCCCATCGTCCCTGCGTCCGTCCTTCCTCCAGCGCGACAAGGCGCGCCGCCCAACGTGAACCGCAAACCGCTTCCAGAACCCAACAACGACATCCTGATCTGGCTTGACCAAGTCAGCGCATCTTTTCTCCTCCCCTGTTCGTCTTGTTTCGTTAAGGAGACGACTCGACATAGAGCTATCCGCATAGATACCGTGCCTATTCATTCAAATTCCCCCCAGTATTGGAGCTATCGAACCATCGCCTCTTGATCCAAATCTCTACTTCGTTTTTGCGCCAAACCGGATCCAACTCGCATTATCTCTGCGACACGAGACGACCATCACAACGGCTCATTTCTAACACGTTGCGCATCTCGGCCTGCGCCTGCTTCTCTCACTACTTCTTTCTCACAAGCTTCACCCAGAGGAATGTACATGTTTGCGTAACCAGGATCTCTTTCGCATAATATGGCTACAGACTGGAGCAAGCTCAAGGTCGTTGACCTCAAGGCCGAACTGAAGCGCCTTGGTTTGCCTCAGAGTGGTCTCAAGGCCGAATTGGTAGCGCGCCTCGAGGCTAACGATGCTGCCGCCGCCGAGCAAGATGCCTCCGAGCCACAGGATGAAATGCCTGACGAGACTGAAGAGGTCAATGGCAAACCCCAAGACCAATCACAAGCGCCAGAAGCGCCAGAAGCTCCAGAAGCTCGGGAAGCTACAGAGCCGACCCATGCCGACGACCTAACCAAGCCTGCCGAAGCTGAAGCTACGCGCGTGGCCCCAGACACCGAACCTCCTGTCAATGAGACCCAAGCCCCTCTAGCACAGTCCTCCAACGCGACACCTCTCCAGTCTGCTGAAGTGATACAGGATTCGCAAAAGCGGAAGAGAAGATCTCTGAGCCCCGCGCCGTCCATCCACGAGGCTGCACGCAAGCGAGCCAAGCAAGATGATAACGCTCAATATGCCACCTCGGAGAATGTCGACGAGGCCGAGGCTCCGCAGGCAGACGTCGCAGATCCAAGTCAAGCTCCCCCTGAGGTGGAAATGGAAGGTGCAAACGAAGAAGGACCCGTCGACCGCGAGGGAAGTCAACCAGGCAACGCTCTTCCCAGCCAACAAAACGGTAACCTAGACGACGTAATGGAAGAGGCCCAACCTGACGTCCAAGAGCCCGTCGCAAACAGATCTCCTTCCCCAAAGCAAACTTACGCAGCACACCCCACCGACCTAGAGCGAGACGTGGAGCCATCAATCCATCCTGCCACTTCGGCGCTCTACATTAAAGATTTCATGAGACCGCTTCGCCCCCAAGCGGTGAAGGATCATCTACTAGATCTCGCTACCCCGGTAGGCACTCCGATCGATGACAGTACCATTGTCAACTTCTATCTCGACACCATCCGAACACATGCGTTTGTAGTGTTCAGCAATATCTCTGCTGCATCACGGGTACGTACCACTTTGCACAACCGTGTCTGGCCAGACGAAACCAACCGCAAGGCTTTGTGGGTTGACTTCATTCCGCCAGAGCGCTTCGAGGAGTGGGTGGATATGGAACAAGCATCAACCGGCGGCCGTGGCGCCACTAATCGCTACGAAGTCACCTATCTGCACGACGCTAACGGCGCACTGACGGTCGGCCTCGAGGAGTTCGACGGCATGGCATCTACGAAGCAAGAACCGAGAGGCCCGGCGCCTGAGCCCGAGCGCAAGCAGTCCATTCCTACGGGCCCTTCGCGACCGTTTTCCGGAATCGAAGGCGCCCCCACAGGCCCGCGCGGCTTTCAGGCCAGCCGCGGACCTTCGATGCACCCCAGCAGATCGGCGGGAGTAGAGCAGGCCGGCCTACCAACTCGCGCATACCCTACTGTTGCATACCAGCCCGTCCCGGACGAGCTCGCTGAACGACGGCTCGATGCGCTCGCGGCGGCCAAGACCAAGCATGACACGAAGGACTACAGCAAAGAGTACAGGCGCTACTATTTCGAGAGAGGTGACTTGCTTGTTGATCGAGGCCGCGAAATCTTCCTAGGTATTCGCCCGCCCCATCGCGAGCGCCAGCGCGAGCGTGAGCGTGAGCGCTTTCCCGGTCGCGGCGGCCGTCGAGGCGGCAGATCTCGCCGCAATGGCATGCCCATCTTCCACGGCGTCCCCAAGGGCGGCGACCGATTCCGACCTGGGGACTCGTCCAACTCGGGCCCCAACAGCCGCTCGCGCTACGCGGATGATCGAAGCAGTCGACGTGACAACTACAGCCGCTACAACGACGATAGAGGTAGCCGAAGAGACGGTTACGGTCGATACTAACGGTGGGACGTTCAACAACCACAAACTCGAGGTAATTGAGTAATTCGTTTTGCTTGAGAATAAATACCTCCTACAGATGGATGCATCTCTGCGCTCTTCTCGATTGCAAAAACCTGATAACCACGAAAGCCTCTTAAGAAAGCATTGACTGGAGTATAGTGAGCACACACGAAATAGCATTGGGCGGGCGGAACAGGACGCATTATACCAACAGGAAAAAGAATACCCGAAGAGGACAGCAAGATCATATCACGAAAGTTGCGCGCGATTACGAGCACGAGCACGAGCACGAGCACGAGCCTTGAGCACCCGTCAGATGCCTCGTCTGCCTGCCTGCTTGGTCAGGTAGTTAGCTGTACCTAAGGTAGCTAGGTAGCCAGATGCGCAAGAAAATGTGTGCTTTTAGACAAGACATTGACTTGACGATATGATGCCGCCGTCGTATCCTTCCGTGAAAATAGCCCCAACAATCAGTTTCCATCTTCCTCATGTTAGCTCCCGTATTACCTATACAATGTTGAAAAGCTACTCGGATGCTAAAAGTGCCCGAATATCTGAGGTCGAATTTTTGCAAATCTTGTAAACGTTAGATGAATATGATGGCTAAATGATCAATTAAGCGCGGATCCCGCTGTAATACGACGAATACTATAGCCTCGGACATCAATAATAACGACGATACCAACGTCAAAACCTCGACTATTGATTGAGAAGATTGACGCCTGTTCTTGATTTAGGGGTAAAAAAGGAGCGAAAAAAGGCAAAAGTTTGGGCTCAACCGGGATTTGAACCCGGGACCTCTCGCATTAACTCTTTTGAAGTTAGGGATTCAGGTTGACCCGAAGCGAGAATCATACTACTAGACCATTGAGCCATTGGTTGTTGTTGCGATAAATCTTCTTAGGCTGTGTTAAGTAGCATGTACATTAGCGGCCTTGCCGCGCATTGGCCCCAGACCATTCAGGGTCTAGACCCACGCAGACCCAGGTACGGTACATAGGTACACGTACCTAGCTGTAGGTACAGGCCCGGGGGATAGAAATCATCCGCCCATCCTTCAATTATTCAGTCGCCATTCTTGCCTCCAACGCGCCTCCATCGCCAACTACAATTCACGTCATTCATTCTCCCGGCTTTTTATTTTTTCCTTCTTTCCCCTCCACCCACCCTTTCTGTTGTGAAGTCATCCTCTGTGGCGCCGCTGTTGTACCAAAGAGTGATGAGTTGATGTGAATACGAACTTCCCAACTCCAAGCTTACCCTGGCAAGGGAGACCTCAGTCGTCCGACTCATTCCAGCTCGAGAAACCGCTCAAGACAACGCCAACTGCTACGATGATTTACCTCGGATCCTCACTTGACACGACATAAGAGAAATGTTTCTTTCAAGCTTACTACGCCCGTCCTCGGGCCGGAGCGCTTCCAGATCCAACAAGTCCAAATCTTCGAGAGACTCCCCCGAAGTCTCACCGTCCCGCGCGCGGTCCCTCGACTACTCCCCCGAGTACCTCGCCGACGAGTCGCAGCTCCAACCAGCTAACCAACCGCCTCAGGATGTGCTCGATCTCAACCAAAACCTCGAGATGCTCGCCGGCCTGTTCCCCAACATACAGGTAGAGGTCTTCAGGGAGATGCTCGCATCCTTTTCGGAAGAGTCGCGGCTGTTCATCATCACCGACAAGCTGCTGAAAAACCCGGGCGAATTCGTCAAAGGTCGACGGAGAGCTGGCGAGCATGCTACGTCCGACTCTACTACTATTGTGTCGCGAGCCGAGGCGTTCCGAACGACGGAATATAAAGACGCGGTACGGGCATTAGCAATGCAGGAATTCAAAGGCATATCCAAATCGTCCATCGATGCCGTTTTATCCGAATATAACTACTCCTACCTCGACGCTCGGCCAACCCTCGTAGACCTGTCGTCTAGGTCCTGGAAGTTTGCCATATCTTCTCTATTTTTCCGCCGCAAGACGGTCACTTTTGCTGAGGCAGAGACCCACCCGCTTATTATATGGACTCCCTCGGACCATGGAGCCATGATACCAACGATCAAGGCCACCGGCAGCTCCGAGTTGGACAGAGAATTATTTGAAGAGCTCATCATGCCGTTAAGGCGGCGCGAGCGACTCGCAAGGGAGGAGAGCGATCGCGCCTTGGCTGTTAGCCTGCTCACGGAAGAAGCCGAAGCTGTCGAGTCGACATATGAATGCAACTGCTGCTATGGAGATGTCATCTTCGAGGAGATCACCGTCTGCGGCACGGATGGCCACATGGTCTGCTTCCACTGTGTTCAGCATTCCATCACCGAGGCCGTCTTTGGACAGAGTTGGCAGCGCAGTATTGACAAGATAACGGGCGGTCTTCGGTGCCCTGCCGTCGCGTCAACCGAGTGCGAAGGCTGCATATCTTCTGAGCATATCCACAGGGCTATGCGATGCGTGAAGAACGGGGACGAGATAGTACGGAAGCTGGACCAGCGCCTGGCGGAGCACGGCCTCATATCTAGCGGGTTGCCTCTCATCCGGTGCCCTTTCTGCAGCTACGTCGAGATCGACGATCTATACGTACCGGCACACGCGCGCCGCCCTAAGCTTCGGATGAGCAACCTTCCCACGATTATCATCACCTTTATCTGCTTTATCCTACCTCCATTCTCCATCCCTACTCTGATACTATGTCTAGTATCCGCCGTCCTCTGCTTAAATCGGTCGTTTAGGGAGTACGCGACGCAGCAAATAAAAGCAGCGCTCGACCGGTACCAACGTCGCCGTCGTGGGTTGAAATTTACCTGTCAAAATCCGTCCTGCGCGCGTTCGTCCTGTCTGTCATGCTCGAAGGCGTGGGTAGATATCCACGTTTGCCACGAGTCGTCTCTCGTCGCTCTACGCACCCAGGTGGAACACGCCATGTCGATGGCAGTCAAACGCGTCTGCCCGCGCTGCAGCACGTCGTTCGTGAAGACGGCCGGATGTAACAAGCTAACATGTCCCTGCGGCTACAAGATGTGCTACGTCTGCCGTAAAGACATCGGTACGGCTAACGAAGGTTACCAGCATTTCTGTCAGCATTTTAGACCCGAGGGCGACGGCCGACGGTGCAAGGAATGCAACAAATGCAACTTATGGGAGGCCGAGAACACGGACGAGATCCTCCGAAAGGCCAAAGCCGAGGCCGAACGCAAGTGGAGAGAATGCGAGAAGAGGGATCTGTCGGACGCGGAGAAGGCATATCTCGAAGACGGCGGAGGTGGCCTCAGTCACGGGGGTAGAGGCCTCGGCCAGTCGCTCCCAGGGGGTAAAATGCCCAGCGTCGAAGAGTTCTGCGACTTGATCATAGACACGCTCTTCATGTGACGGCGTTTCAAACATTTCTCTTTGCTTTTACATTCCTTGGGCTTGGCAAAAAGGAGTATTATTGCATACTGGATTTTTTTTCCCAGTCGGACACACTCTTTTGGGGACTAATTCAAGCGTTTCGAAGACGAGCGTCGCATTGGGATTTGGCGTTTCCAAAATATACACAGGCATGTTGTATAACAACACATATATACACCACGGGGGGGGGCAGGATTAAAGGGATCATCGCATGTATTATACCCCCCGTCAAGCAGCATTGTACATGCAAAACGACGTATTGCAGGCTATAGCCTCGAGGTAATCATAGAGCAGGTATTGGATACGTTCATTACTTTCTCGGAGCTACATATCTACATACTTAATCACAAGGACAACAAAAGTTCTGCTTCTGGCTTTGGGTGGCTGTTTTTACGAGCGACTTCAACTTTGGTCCCGCATCTTGAGGAGTAGACACTCATCTTAGTCGACTTGATCTTGTGAAAATGCCTATCGCAGTTGACTGCCAGACAGCGGCCTGGTTTAACATGGTTGTATTAGCAAATACCTAACGCAAAATGTAATGTGCCTTCGTTTCTATCGTTGGCAACAATATTTCTTATATTCGTTACCTAGAGCTAGGCAATTGTAATCTAGGAAGCGGTTCAGGAAGATAAGATGTTAATACTGCAGGTGGTAACACCGGAGGGGACGAATTCGGCGGTGCTTATTGGCAAGGCCGGCTATAACCGTTACACCGAGTGACTCAGACCCAAAACTCGGATATACCATAGCTCTCAAGCTCACGCTTTGTCAAGATTCTTGATTCAGTTCTTTCGGATTGTCAAAACATATACCACACACTAGAGTCAGTATATGACCATGGCCTCCAAGCACGCTTCCAAGATAGAGGTACTCCTTTCGATTCAACTGCCTTGCCTAGCTAGGAAGGTATATTGGGTATCATTGCTGATGTCTCGAGCATTGCCTAGCTCATACCCTGGGATCACACGAGCCCGGAACATGTACAGAGGATGTACGACCAACGTGTCGCCTGTGGTTGGAGAGTTAACGAGGTGCCGTCGGTGAGCCTATGCCCTCGACTGCACCGGGAACAGTGGGTTCATGTAACTTTCACGTTCCGGGGTCGCACGAGAACATTCGAGAATGCTTCGGCCCATGTTTCTAACGTGGACGATGAAGTGGGTAGAGTCTGCTAAGAAAGGCGGCAAGATATTTTACTGGGCTGTGAGTTGTGTGCTCGTATCGTGGCGTATCTCGGTAGCTGATATAGCAGCTCCTCTCGGATGCTGTTCCAAATCGCCAGGACTTGATAGAGAAGCATATCGAGAAGTATCCGGAGGTGGGTGTATGATCACCTACCCGTACAAGGAGTAAACTGAGAGCGCAAACAGGAGGCGACCCCCTTGAGAGACACGGCAGCAGAGGTTCGGCTAGTCCCGCGGCAGCCAACCAACGCCGAGTTCACCCCCATTGGCCACGTAGCCGTTGACATTCACGACCCCGAAGAAGACGAGAAGTTGGGGCTTCCGCCTGCCGAAACGGTCTGGGTCCATCAGCTGTACATATCACGGGCATTGCATGGAGGTGGATTCGGCTCCGGAACCATGTCCCAGATCGAGACGCTGGCGACGCAGAGCCCAATGAACGCCAAAATCGTGGCCCTCGACACCATATCCAAGAAGATGCAGACAGTTCCCGCTTATCGGGACGTGCTGTACGGGGAGGGCAAAGGACAGATTGCTCTACCATCGGTGAGTTGCGACGGCGTTACTCAAGTCCTTGCAGCGTTGCTTAACGCCGTTGATATAGGTCACCAATGAAGACTGGTATACCGGGCTGGGGTACAACGCCTTCAAGCGCGAGCACAACGCATTTACCTCAGAGCCGAAAGACGGAGTCAGTGTGTCTAGTGAGTACACCCCAGAGCCGCTGATAGGCTCCTCTCCTTTTGTCTCGCAGGAAGCATTCTTCACCCCCTCTCGAAGCTAGGGTTAGGCACTGGTGGACTAGATCTCACACCTCACGACGGAGGGCTTCTCTTCGTGTGTGTCTTCTCTTCATATCGAACAGCGACTAACGCCGGATGCTGCAGTTGACATTGTTTATATGAAGAAGACGGTTGCCTGATAGCTAGCTGACTGTGAAAGTGTCGCATTACGTCTATGGAAGTCAAGAATAGAAAATCATTCTGTATCCCCGACTCTGTATTCGCCTCGTAGTGATCGATTGGGTTTGAACCGTGTGAGTGTTGAACCAAGTGACTCCACTACAGGTAGTGTTCTATGTGAACCCCGAACTCGCATCGCATCTACTATATAGAAAGGGGAGGGAGAGGGAGAGGGCTGGAGTGTCCGGCGCAGTGAAGGGTGACGAGAGGTCTACAACAGGCAACGTAAATTCCCTCTGCGCGACTCTTTTTATAGGAAGCGTGCGTGATGCCCAACGCCGACGAGGACTTAGACGCGAGCCGGGTAGGATTGCATCGGAAAGAATCGTTTGACTCGCTTCCTGCGTCTACT